CCTGCTTGTTGTTGCGCTTGCTTAGACTGGGGACGTTCTATAACAACACAAGGAGGAGTTAAACTTCTCAACCCAGGTGCTTAAAGAGCATTTATGCTAGACCTTATTATACTAAAGATTTGCAAGCTAGCATCAGAGTGTAATATATTACAGAAAATACGAAGACGAGAAATAAATAATGAATCTGTACGTTTGCAGTCTTAAAACAAATTAGACCATAGTTTACTTAGAAGATTATCTGTTTATCAAATCATATCTAGTCCCTCTACCATATCATCACAATAAATTTTATTTAAATTGATGAAAAGAAAATCTCAATTTATATAAAACAAATTTCCTCTGTCACGTAGGAATTCAAAAATCCAATTTCGTTTTATGTAATGAAGTTTTTTTTAATGGTCGCGCGCTCGACAAATATGTACTTTTGCGTACCCTTTCACGCCTTCATAGCGAAAATTAATAAAAGTGCAGTCATTCATCGTTGAATTATGCAGCCTGCCGGGGCACCTGCCTGCCTGCCATTATTCCGAATAATACGATCTCCGTCTCTCTCAGGTTTTCTTTGAACCGAAATAGATTTCCATGAATGCTAATTGTCTTCTTCTTCGGCGACTCTTTGGCGCGATAATATCCCATTCTCTTTTTGAATAGGGAACATGCATAGGCCTTTTCATGTTACCGGTTACCAATTTTTTTTCTTGTTTGTATTAAAGGGACTTCATTATATTTTAAATTTCAAATGGAATGTTTTTGGCGTTTTTGTAATTTCTAACTTAGGAGTTGAGTTCCAATCAATTTTTCAGAAGGTCGCAGTTAAATAGAGTTTAAGGATTTTATTAACAGGTCTTTACCTAGAAAAAATATCATGTGCTCCATATTTCTGTCTCGTCTGATATCGTTCTAGTAAACTTGCGCCGCACAGAGGTCTAAATGTAAAAATTACGGGGACATTAGGTGACAAACTTGACTTCACTGGATATTGATAATATGTATGATTTTTTAGACAGAATAAAGTGAGACCTTATGTGTATATCAAGGTTTTTTGTTTGGTAGATCGGAATGCGATAAAATTGGGGACAACGGAGACAAAAATATAAATCCTCATTTAGTTAGAATTTATTCTCGATTATCTTCGAGTTCGTTTCGATAGTTAGTGTTGATAATATAATATCGTGTTTTGTTTAATTATTCAGGCATGTCTGCTGATTTGTTGGGTAAACTTAGTTACTTATTTCGTAGCACTAATTTTGATATAAATAATTTTCAAAGAAGTACTCAAAATTTTATTTAAGTTCCAAGAATGGAAGGCCCCAAAAAAAAACCAAACTTTTGTTAACCGTCAAACTCAATCTATTTTAAAGCTAGTATTTCTGACTTTCTTGAAACTATATACTCAGCTGCAACCAGCTGCAATCTTGTGAAATTATTATTTTTTTCCTCTTCAGGTACTGTTTCGGGCGTGACTCGAAAACAGTTATTTGAGTTTCTGAATGAAAATGGCTGGATGGGAAGTGCCAATTCTTCGATTGTGAAAAACAAGATGGGCGACTTTGTCAATCAACGCATCCCTACTGCCGACAAGGATGACCTAACCAACAGAATTTCGTGGTTTTCGACGCAAATTGCGTTACGTTGGAAAAGGTGCCACCGAAATAAGATTTACTTTTTGAATAAACATGAAATTTGGCTCAATGAGTTTGTTTATAAATCTAAGTGCCAAAGCACCTTCCAGCGACACGCAGAAAAGCCTTCGAGAAAGAACACAAGAGAATTTAGTGACGTTAGTGCTAGAACCAGGAGAAGACGAACACAAGAATTGGTTTCTCACCATAGTCCTGCTGAAGTTGCGTTTGCTACTCAGTCTGGATATACGAAAAGAGGAAAGAGAAATGTTGCTTTCGTCATAAAAAAAGACGCGTCTACTGGAGAAAATGGTCGTATCTCGTTGTTGAACCTTCCTAACTGTTTTATTTTAGTCAACTCTTCTGGACTAGAAATCGGTTCGTGCGATAAGTCGAAAGTCTCAGTTGCTCGAAGGGGGAATAGTTCAGGAAGCATTGTACAGGCAGTGTCGGACTGGGGGTCATTTGGCCCACCGGGCAAATGACCCCCCAATAAAAACAATTTTGATAATCATTTGTTGAATCTGCTACCTAGTTGTATTATAGGCTAAATCTACTTCGGATTGTTCTACAGCATATTCTTTTCTCCATACAGTCGAAGATGGTCCGGGGAATCCAGGCATTGAGTCTTCCTGAACCCCTTTTTGATATTCTGGTATTGAAGGCAGGGCAGATTGCTGGGCTACTGTTGCTTGATGCTGCTTTTAACAATGGGTCATTTATTACAATCGGGGATAGTTCTTATGTTTCTAGAATCTGTGTAGAAGTAGAACATGTTGAAGCATCCTCGAAACTTCCCTCGGTCTACGGCTTTGTATTTGTTTTAGTATTCGAAAGAAAATTAAGTCAGTTGTTGGCTGGATGCTGCAGCTTCTAATAATTGTCGTTTTCTCACGATCGCTCTTTTTTCTGTACCCGTCTTATACAGGGTGTCCCACGACTTTTTTCCCAGGTAATAACTTCGGAACGCGTCATCCAATATAATTGAAATTTTGAGGATCTGATGGGTAACTTTATGTGGTGCTTCTACTATTGTTATACAATTTCACCCTTTTCGCTTCAATTTCGGTCAAGTGATGGTCAACTTTCGAATATTAAATGTAATCCATGGTATATTATGTTTTTTTTTCGTTAGAAAATTAAATTACAAAATCGGCCATGCCATATTTGTTGAGGCTTTGTAAGGAAAATGCATTGGAAAATGATAAAAAATTATACAATGAAACTTACGATGATGCATTCTGAAGTTATCATTTGCGAAAAACCTCGTGGGACACCCTGTATAACTTCCTCTTTTTTACCTTTCCGTTCTCGGACATCTAGGGTGTATAAAAAATAAAAATAGGAATAGCGAGGGAGGCGGAGGTAGAGATTTTTAATGATATTATTGTCTGAGAAGAGTTAATGCAATTGTAAAGATATCGTAATCTGCGTAATCAACAAACAGAAAAACTATTTCAGTCATTCTAGCGTTGCTGAATGTGCTGATTTTTGGAACAACAGAGTGATTAACTTGAAAAAAACGAAGAGTTACAGAGCATTTTTGCGAGTCAATATTTTTCTTCCTATATCTATTACCTATCTACATAGATAAAAAGAAACAAATCAAATTAATCAAAACCAAAACCAGTGTGAGGATGTGGACTTTATTCACTAATTTACTACGCTGTCTTTGTATTTCTAAAAATCAACAACGGGTACGTCAGTTGAATTCTAATTCACTAATTCACTGATATGCGGCGAGCGATTTCTACGCGACTTCGGCTTGAACGTTTTTAGAGCAGAAGGAAGTTGATATTGATATGATCTAAGGATATGATAGTTGATTTTTCATAAGGACGGTGGGTTACGCAAAATAACGTATGATTTGATGATCAATGGCGTGGCGAGTGGGATATTTCAAATTTATTTTTATGAATATTCGAATGGCCCACCGGTCGAAGACGTCACCTGGCCCACCGGGATTTTGCCCGGTTGCCCGGTGGGCCAGTCCGACACTGTGTACAGGCAAGAGAGAGAGCCACGTATTTGCTGAATACTAGGCAGTGGTGGAAGAGAATAGAGAGTGTGACACGCATACGCGCAGTACAACTCTGATGCCACAGGAGTAGAGCAAGAGAGAGCGACGTATACACTCAATACGAAGCAATAGAAGTTTCACTTCTACCACGTGTACGGCGCTGCATATGATGTTTTTTTCTCTCTTGTGTAACGAAATGGGCCTAAACTTTAAGCATCTCTCAAATCACTATCCATTCTCGTTCAAATATCAGACCGCCGCCTAAGAAGTTTCACTTCAAAAAAGCGTGTTTTTCCTTATGCGACTGCTGATGAGTTATGAAGTTGATCGATGGGCTAGTTTCTTAATAGCAAGTCACCCCCGGGTTAATCATAACTCCAGGGTAAACATTGCTACTTTACACGTTTACCCTGGAGTTAAAACCAACCCTGAGGTGACTCGCTATTGAAAAACCGACCCTGAGGCAACTTAATTGCTCCAAGATTTATACCGAATTGCCTTAACATAGATTAGCAAGCTGCTCCTCTCGTCTCAACAAACTGGAGTATCAACTCGTACTTCTAATGGTGCTTAGCAATAGACTCTCTTGTCAAAGATGATCCTGAGGAAGAGTGGCTGCTCCTCCCTGGTGAAAATGCACTTTTATCTGAAGTCTGATGAGAAAGCTTTATGACTTCTTCGAGTTGACCTGCTCCTACTCCTTGAAAGTTCCTCTGATGGCTCTCTGGGCCTGAGACCATCTGTTGGGACGGTTTTGGAGCTTTGGCATTTTTGTCCAGCCATGAAATGAAATTAACATCTTTGGAATATGAGAGGGAGCATCATGATCTTGTTTGGGTTGGAATCTGTCATCCTGCTTATTGGTTTTTGATGTAGACTTGGAGATTATTCAAGAACCCATTTGGTTTTTCTGGAAAAGTCTGGACCTTTCATGTTCATCGGGAAGTTTTGTCAATGATTTTTGACCTGGGGCGTTGGAAATCGCTTCAGCTTCGTCATTAGGTGCCTGCATATCCATAATTTAATGCTTCCAGAACTGGAATAACTTCTGGTGCTTATAACTGTACTTTACTTCAACAAATCTCACGCATCCTCCATTAAGTTTTGTGGCGTGAACCAAAACACTCTGTGGACATGCCTACTAAAATCCAAACAAAGAGAATGTCGTTAGTCCAATTCCAGGTCAATCGCCGGTTAACTATGAATATCTTGGTCTGTATTCAAATAGCAATTTATTCTGACATACAAAGTACAGAAAATTATTTATTTATTGAATTAATTAGTTGTTATTTCAACCAGTTCTTACAATATTTTGGTATAGCACTGTTTGCAGCTCTAAACTTTTCTCAAATTTGCAGCGAATGATAACAGAACGTGGTTTTCGAGGCAGCGTAAGACGGTTACGTGCCTGGTGCGTAGCCTGGTGGCATTCAGGCAGAGACGACAGCGATACCGAGGAAGAAAGTCCAAGCGAACAAGGTCAGGGGTGTATCACTCCTGTTTCCTTGGACACGCCTTTGCCTAGCTCCGTTTCTAGGTGTACTTCGCTCAATGTTATTAGGTAACTTATTTTGTACTATTTATTTTGTATCACTCAAGCAACACTAAAAGTTTCATACGTCACAGGAGACAACTTTTGTAATATATAACTTGTGACAATAGAGTTATTACCGAATCTATAATATAACAAATCATCTTGGTGTTTTAGGGACCCTTATGCAACAAGAGAAATCGGTTGGAGTGTAAACCAGCCGAACATGACCCCGACACGTTTCACGCCACGTGACACGCGTAGTTTGCCGATGGCCAATCGGTTAGGAGGACGAACGGTATCTTCAGAAAGTGTATATACGATTTTAATTAAGTTACCTGGAGAACCAAAGGAGGGCGCACATCAGGGAGTGATGGAGACGCCATCGATCAAAATGATTCCCGAAAATACCGTCGAGAACGAATACAATAATTCTACGAGTAAGCTCAACAATTCGAACTCGACGGCCTATTCGAATCACATAAATAGGAGGCCGTCGGCTATGCCCGATGTTAGGATACCTTTAAATGCGAAAGGTAATTTATCTATCTTTATACCAACAAATACAAATCTTTAATTAATTTTGCAGGAATTCCAAAGCATTTAGCAGGTAAAGCATTATTGGCCAACGCAACAAAGAACCACGGTAAGAAGAAGAAGAAAACTCAAGAGAAGAAGGCCGACAAGAAGGCGGCAAAAACGCTATCGGCCATCTTGCTGACGTTCATCATCACTTGGACGCCCTACAATATATTGGTGCTGCTCAAACCGGTCACGTCGACCAGTGCCCGGATTCCGCCGCAAGTGTGGGACTTTTTCTACTATTTGTGCTACATAAACTCAACCATTAATCCGATGTGCTACGCGCTGTGCAACGCGAGCTTTCGCAGGACCTATTTGAGAATTTTACAGTGCAAATGGCACAGCAGGAATCGGGCCGGCGTCAATCGCGGTTTTTATAATAATTAGGTAAAGAAAAAAGGTGAAAAAACATTAAAAGGAAAATATTTATTCTATACTATTAATATTGAACGCTACAACTTTTTTAGGTTTCGTATTTGGGTCGCGTTGTTCAGCATTTGCTGAGCGGTGGGCATTTTGATTTTCGATCTGAGTTGATGTGTAAAAATATGTTTAAGTAGTATCCAGTTTTGTTGCGGATCTAACCACAGATGGGTCATGGCGTTCTTGCACCCATCAGAGCAATGTAAGATCAATACCGAAATAATCAATCAATCAAGTGCACCTAATCAATCCATAAAAGGTTGCCCGGGACCCACTTTGTGCTGAGCCGGTTCTAGATACCATAGATTTGAAAGAAATCGTGGTAAACTGGTACCAAAACCTAGAATCGACTTTGTGCAAGGTTGGCTTCGTACTACTCGATATGGATATTTATTGGACATTTTGAGTAAGAAAATTGTTCAGCAAGAAATTATTTTCAACGGAGATATTCCTCAACCTAACATTGAGTTGACAGGTAACATTGCTTTTGAACTCTTGAATCACTTTATGAATATAGCAGAGCCAGCACTCAAGGGGGTTTAGAGTGATAATGATAATTTACATATGAAATTAAGTTCTTCTTTTTCAAGTGCCTTGTCCTCTACGAACGTTGACAATTATTATCAGCGCTCTCTGTACTTTGTCGACTGCTTTTCTGACTAGACTAGTCGTGGTTTCACCATACCAGTGACGCAAATTATTTAGCCAAGACATTCTTCGACGTCCAGGACCTCTTCTGTCTTCCATTTTTCCCTGAATTATGAACTTGGTAGGTATTTGTCATTCCCGAATATGAAATCGATCAATGAGTCTTTGGAAGGTGGAGGGTGTATTTTTCATTCCAAATGGCATCCTCGTATAACGGAAAATTTCAAATGATGTTTTATCTCGATCAGATTCGCGGACAGAGACTTATGATATCCTGATTTTAAATCAAGAGTGGTCATATACTTTGTTTGTCGTGCAGATCATCAATCCTAGGAAGTGAGTATTTATCGGAAACTGTTTTCTCATTTAGGCTTTAATAATTGACACAAAGGCGAATACTACCATCAGGTTCAGGTACTAGAACAACTGGAGCAGCATACGGAGATTCGCATTCTTCTATGATTCTATATTTCAGAAGCTTATCCAGTTTTGCCCTCAATATGTTTTTGTTTTGTTCAGACATCCGATAAGGTAATACAGAAATTGGAATATCATCAGTCAGTTTTACTGTATGTTCTGCATATGGAGTTGGCTCGGTACCGGATGTGAATAATTTAGCATATTGATGCAGTAAGAATTCAATTTGTTGCTTTTCCTGTTGGCTTAGTTGTACACCTTCATTTTCTCTCAATTGTGATGCATTCAGTTGTACAGAAAACATTGGAGTAGATTCCGCAGTAGTTATTACATAATAAGTCTCATCTTCAAATAAATACGAAAATTCTAGAGTTTCAGCATAATACCATTGTCCCTGAGGAATGTCCATCACAATATTGGCAAGTTCAATGAAGTCTAAACCAAGTAAAGTCCTATTATTGATATATTCTGGAATGGCAACAAGTGATGTTAAAATAATTTTATCATTCAGAATGATTTCAACATTAAAAACCAGAGAAGTTACAGTCGAGCGTTTTCTTTCAAGAGAAGTTTCATAAGCGCAGCACCAGCTAGGCTACGCTTTGTTCCTGTATCCAAACAGGCAAGACCAGTATGACCAAGAATATTGACTGAAACCATAGGTTTAATTTGAGAATCAACAGCTGAAGAATGATAGAAGAATTCAGCAGCATTGGCACTTGTAGTGAAAGTTTAGCCTGATGAAGTATTACTAGAAGAACCTGACTTTCGACAATTTAGACAGACAGACAAACCATATTTTAAAGCTTCACTATTGCGTGTAGTGACTTACGATTTCAATAAGTTCTAAGTAGACATCTTCTAGACCTGCAGCTATCCTGTTTTTGGATCACGGAATGGCGCGTTGGACTTCTTTCTCAGTTATATCTAGTCTTTCTCGTTAATACTGTTCAGGAATGTCCAATAATATCTCGTCTTGAAACAGGTTTTAGATGTAGCTACACCCTACACCACTGTTTTACTTTACAATTAATACCGGTCTGTCGAGGCTTGTATACACCAGCAACTTACCCCATAAAGAAGAGCATAATGACCAACAATGAGTAAAGTCTGTCGTTTTTAATCTGACATTTTCCGTATAAGGAGCGAGGGGGTGTTTCATATGGCAAAAAGAGGTGTGACGTCAGGTAACCATTCGCGTTCTAATGTAGAGAGCCACCAGCTCACATTCCTTTGGAGTATCAGAATAAAATCAACAGACTATAGGTACAAAGTCCTCAGATGGAAAGCAAAATGCTACCTAGTAATAATTCAAGAACTCTTAACCACAATCGTAATCAAAGGCTTGTTGCGTAAAGACTCCTGAGAAAGTTGTAGCAAATGAAAGTAAATATTATTAAGGAAAAGAGGGATTGTAATCAAACATTGACACATTTTACTAATAAAAGGAACATGCCCTTACTTGTCAGTGGACATCTTTCCAATAGGCAGTCTTCAACTTCAGGGATTTGTTTTATTGTAATCCTTGTTTGTGTAAAATCACTACCACATTGGCTACTCAATAATAAATAATTATATCTAAATTTTGAATGGTTGTTACTTACAATGGAAAAAAATTGAAATCTATTCCAATAGTCCATCTTCTATTTTTCTCAAATCCTTGAACTGTCAAATTCCTGTTTAGAATTCCTTGCTCGTAAAACGTAAAGATAAAAATCCCTTTTTTCCTTAAAAAAAAGAAACTCATTTAAACAATTTATTAAAATTTTCTATTATCGTGAAAAGTAACCTATCGGTGGCAACCTTAGTTAGAAATTTAAAACCGACACAAGTGCTGTTGGTAGCATTCGAGATTTTCAGAAATGTTACTCGCCAGCCTTTTGTAGGTGATTTGTATCAAATAATGTGTACCAATTCAATGTCGCCCTTAAATCCCGCTCTAAACACCAAGAAAATTTCGACTATAGTAATGATTCCACAACCTCAACGAATTTTTTTTGGTTTATTTGAATAATTATTTTGTAATGCTCAATAGGTGTTTCAGCGTGTGAAAATAATAAAAAAGAACGAAGATAAATAAGATGTTGGGTTTCAAGAGTTCAAAAACCCAATGATGACAAACAAATATATTACTTATAGAGGCTGTGTGTTAGATTTAGTTTTATTTATGACCAACATTTTGAAAGAAACATTGAGCTGCTGCATAGTTCAATGCATCGGTACTAATTGTTTTCCAAAAAAAAAATCGCTCATATATTTCGTTCAAATATTTGCAAGCAATATTTAAAATAATTTGTTATGTATTTATTTTGTTGTTAGCAATAAATTTTAAGTTTAAATATTGTGTTATTATGCTCAATGATAAGGAATTTATTATTTACCCAAGTAGCAATTTGATATCGTATTGAAGATACCAATTTACGTTTATTTGACAAAAAGATCTATAATTCTTCTGGATTGATTACTTGTAATGTAAGTCTCCACTCATTGATACTAAACACTTCATGTTGATTTTCTCATGTGTACCTTTTCTTGTACTCAACATGGATTGCGTCTGTTTTTTCCTTTTGGTTCTTTCACCGGTGTTGTCTTAAAAACATCCTCCAAAAGATTTTTGAGTACCTTTGTGGTGATTTGATCTCCTTATGCCTCTTTCAACCTTCACTGCAATACTTCCTTGGATCATGCTCCTTCAAATTTCCTCTCCATTTGAACTTCAGGGAGACAAATTATATCACATCCAGTGTGTAATGTGCTTAATCTTTTTCCTCTTCAAATTTTCGATGGCATGTATTACATATAAGAACGAAAAAAGCCTTATACAGCAATGGATAGAACATTACAAGGGTCTATTACAAGAAACTAGACCGGAATATATATTAGATTCTCCAAGACATTGTATTGAAGTACATAGAGAAGTTGAGATATCTGAAGAAATAGTAAAAAGACTCTTAAGAATCTTAAGCTATCGGCTCACATAGGATCTTCTCCGAAATGCTGAAAACTAAGAAGCTCCTTACAGATGTCACATGTATTATCAATAAATGGCTAAATGGACATCCTGTCCCACAAGACTTGAAAACTGCTTTTATATCATCTATTCACAAAAAAGGAAATAAGCTGGACTACAATAACTATCGAGGCATATCAGTCACAAGCAGACTATATGGTAGAATCCTACGTGATCTCATTGAAGATTATAAAGAGAAAGAAGGAGAAAAGCAGAGCGGCAATAGAGCAGGAAGACAACGTATTTTGCCTAAAACAATTTATAGAAAAGAGATCTGCTTTTGGAAACTAACCTAACCTACAAAAAGCATACGATATTGTCCCAGTATTCAGACTATGGAAGGTATTAGATCAATTCAACATCAATCACACCTATATTACGGTCATTGAAGAACTATATAAAAACTCAAAATTAAGAATTAAGATAGGTAAAAAACTCACAGACACATTTGAAGTCAATAAAGAACTACGTCAAGGATATTTTCTCTCCTACGCTTTCAAAATATATGTAGCACTTGAACATTGGAAGAGGAAGATCTATGGAATCGGTATAGAGAAAAATGCCTGTTTATGATTCAGTTTGCAGATGTTCACGTCATAGTGGCCAGTAACAAAGGGAACATGCAATTTACGATTAGAAAGCTGATAGAAGAGTATCAAGAATGGGGCCTGAGAGTTAATATAAATAGAACAAAATATCTCCGTTTAGGCACCCAGAACGGAAACTTGTGGACAATGATCAAGAAATTCTGCAATATCTGGAATATGAGTATCTAGTTATCACATTCGACAACATTGGAACAGATGTGAAAGAAAGAAAAAGAAAAGCCAATAGTGATAGGCTGCTTAAATGGAATCTTATGGAGCAAGGAAATAACAAAGAAGAGAAAATTCAATATATACGAGACAATGGATAAAGCCTTCTATATGGAGCCGAGACTTGGAGAATTACAGACAAAAAAAGAAAGTAGTAGCAGTTGAAATGGATGCTAATAAAAGATCCATGCGAATCTCACGAAGAGAGAGAATAAGGAATGACCATTTAAAACAACAAATGGGAATAGAAGACACGATAGTTCAGAATACAATAACTAACTATTCTTATTTATTCGAATGCATTTTTAAATGTCGCTTCAAATTATTTTGTCTACTATATTTTTTGTGACAAGTATCACATTCAAAATTACTTTTATCTAAATGTACCGCTTCCTAAATATCCATTCCGATGAAATTTCTTGTTACCGAATCTCTTCGATTTGAATCCAGTCTCTTGAGGAGTAATCCCAAGTATTTTGTTGTATATTCATTGTATATTCATTTTTTATTTTTAGGAGGCTCCCTGGACCAAACTGCCATCAATCTCAAAAATGATTTAAATTCTGTCAAACATTTCATTGATTCGATAGAACTTCCTACTATGTATCCCACATAAGAAGTCTCTCATTTGACCAACTTGATGTATCATTATGAATTTAATAATATAAGGTTTAATCCATAACTCTTTATATTAAAGAGGCTTCAGATTTTCCATAGGCTACATTACATCTATAAAAATTGTGCATTCAAGGGTAAAATTGCTACTTGGGAAATTATCGCCCCCCCGATCGTGAAAGTAGAGACCACTTCCCCCAACTCAGCATATTGATAAATAAATAAAATATAATATATACACAAAAAAAGAAAGGTGTTTTTTGTTGTAAAGTAGCATCTAAAAAGAAATACTTAGTGAATACGAAAGTCGTATATAGTTTTTAATAATTATTTTGTATAACTTTGTATGTTGTACCATAATAACTTAGAAACCATTTTTCTCGTGTAATGTACTTTCCTACATAATCTTAGATGCTTCTTGAAGAGAACTAAAAAGAAAACAATGTGTTTTGGATTTTATTTTTTATTTATTTTTTAAGTTATTGTGAAATACATTTATCAATTTATTTTTTTTAAGAAATAAGACAGTGTGTCCAGTTTTTTAATTTTAAACAAAATACATTTTGAAATAGTTGAAAAATAACAATCATACACATAAAAGTTATGTCATTTTTTAGGTAAAATAAGACATAAATCATTGAACATGAAGTCTAAATAAGAGTTTGGATTATCAGATCCTCAATATAATTTGTAAACTTATGGCTCGAATAAGATTGTATTTATTAAAAAATTTGACACACTGTACAACAATGAGTTACAATAAATACAAATTTCAATTAGAAAAAAGTCTTGATGATAAAATTCAATAAAAACAATACCTTCGTAAGTGAGAGGTAGCCTGCTTGTTCACTATAATTTCATCGCACCAAAAACAAATTGAATTATTTTCTAAGGTTTGCGACATTTGAATATGGTATATGCTAATTAAGTAAAATAAAAATAGGAAATGTAGTTGAAAATATATTTTATATAGTGACCAGGTAACCTACTGAAATACTTACCAAAAAAAAATAAAACGCACATTAGGTACACTTGAAAACAAACTTTTTCTTTTAACCAAAACAGTTTTTACACAAAATTTACCATTGCGATGGTAAACTTAGTGGTTTGTAAATGATGTTAAATAAATAAAATGTTGTTTTATATACTAATTTTAAAAAGAAATTTTATTAAGACTCCCAGAAAAAAAAAATCACTGATGGAACTTATTACGGGTATTAAGCATAATGTTAATATTATGAAAATTGTATAAATAAAAATGAAACAATAATAAAGTTAAAAATCATAAAACTATTTTATTAATTGTTGGTAGTATACTATAGGGCCTGTATGAAAATTGAAAATCCCACAATTATTATTTGACACAAGTACAATTACAATTATTGGATTCTACGTTATTTAATTTAAAAAACTGCACAATTACAATGAAATAACTACTGATATCTCCGACCTGCAAAAATATAGCTCTTTTATTTATTTCTGTAACTCCTGATAAAAAAAAAATTGATTCTTTCCAATATGATTTGGTAACATAACATAAATATTTCTAACAATAATACCTTTACTCAATACATAAGCCATTGCAAGCAATATAAACCTATTTTTTTTGAAATTATATAAAGGCGACACCAAAAAAACTATAGTAAACGTGTGATATTCTGAAAAAAAATAAAAATATTACGTATTGGTATTGAAGACATACTTCTTAGTAAATCCAAATATTTATTTCGTCTATTCGATGCCTTCAATTAAATGACCTATATTTGCCTGTTTGTATAAGGAGAGATCGATAACAATTTTAATTATTTCAACGATATAGTTGTCTCAGTTATTTGCAGGAGTTGATTAATCATACAGGGTGGTGTTATGGGCCCAAATTTTCATCATTCTTTAGCAGCTTGATGATGAGTCTAATGGAAATGGTAATTTTTTGGTAACATGGGTGCGGTAGGAGATTTTTCAACGAATTTTTTTGTTTTTTTTGGGTGCTGAATACGAATCTGAAGTTTTCTGCCTGTTAGCAGAACCGGCTCAGGCTGAAAATCTCGAAAAACCTTGATATTCTCGGACTTTTTCCGGTTTTCTGGTCATATCTTGCAAACGACGCCACGTGCGGAAAATGTCACGGTATTTAAAGTTGAAGAGCATAAAATTTTGCATCGAATGACTTTACTAACCTTGTTACTATTAAATTCATAAGCTAGCCATCGTCACTCGAAAAAAAAACAATTTTAATGAACTTTTGTGAAAACTGCATTGAACTTACTTTCAGACGACAGTGATTTCGAAACAAATGTTCACGCATAGTTGACTTTCATTAATTCAAACCTCAAAAATAATCAAACTCAAGACCTCTTTAATTTCACGCTCAACACACAGCTGTTTTTTTTTTTTTTTTCTTGGGGGATAGTTGGCATTTTTTTGGGGGATAGTTGGCACACTCTTGGGGGTGTTGGCAGTACCCCCTGAAGATACTTGAGTCATTTCCAGAGTTGGACCGGAGAGTCGCAGAGTTCTGTAGTTTCAGCTGCAATTGGTCCTTCTCCCATTTATATAGTTCGTTTGTTAGGTGGCTCCTCATTAGGCCGCAAAATGGTGTTTCAGCACCTCATTTGCGTGGCTGGCTATGCTTCGTCGTGACCTGCTCACCTGCACCCACATCACGGTTACCAGGCTGCACATCGTTGGTAGTTTTGGTCTGGTGGCATTCCCAGACTAGTTTTGATACGCATTTGCAGGCCTTCACAGCCTTTAGAGCCGCTTGGCTGTCTGATAGTATCATTACGTGTTTGATGTTTTGATTTTGACACTCTTGTGCACAAATATTGATTGCAAGGAATTCAGCTTGGAATATGGTTGGATATTTGCCCAATGGCTACTGGCTGGTATACCTTGAAGTTTCTGCACATGCGCGCTGAAACAGACCAGCGATGGTAAAATTGAGTACTGAGTGAACAGACACGTTCCAGCCGGGCTTCTGTAATAATTAATTTAAAAGGAACATTAAGACAAGATTTAATTGGTTTTCTCTTCGAATATTAAATAATACACTCATTCTTCCAAACCGGAATCCACGGCCTATCGACCAATCAAATTCTCCGTATTTTCGGAATACACGTGCCGCAACGAGACAGTACAAACAAAACATGACTGACGCCTACTGTCAGATCACGAAACTTTCAATTTAAAAAAATTAAGGCAAGTTTAAAATTTTGATGATTGCTATTTCTTACAAAAACTAATGATTTTCTTTCAAAGAGTTCGAAGAGAAAGTATAGTCTTCTACTCGCAAATAATGGCTATTATTCACGAGAATGAAAATTCAAACACGAGCCGAAGGCGAGTGTTGAAATTATTATATGCTCGTTGAAGAATATACTATTAGGCAATAAAGTTTCATAGCCAATTCACTTCATAGTCATTTCAACATTGATAAAGCCAAAATAAAACTTGTCACTAGAGTACTTACATTTAAATGATCGCCCTTAAAGTCACTTCATTAGTCTAATTATAATTATTACTTCAAAATAGCTACAGCACGCACATAGAAACTCAACGGTTCACTTTTTTTTTTAATTCGAGTTATTTACTGTAGGTTTTACTTTTTCCGTGGCCCAACTTTTTTAGACTTGGGATAATTCGCCACTTCTGAATACTACGAATTATTGAGTCTAATTCTCGATAATTATTGATTGATGATTGCTCGCACATAATGTTGAACGAATTTAAATGTTTTGTCTTTTACAATTTTCCGTGACTTTTTCAAAGATTCGATTTAACGCGTTCAAGGTTCTGGTGTTAAACAGAGTGGGAATTTTCCGCTCAAGTGTCATTTGTGTAACCAGACAGGAAACAAAAGGGCAGAATGTCTACAAGGAATAATAAATATAATGAAAATTATGGAGGAAACTATCATTCTGGTCATAGGGGAGGTTTTATGGGAAATTGTTCTCACAGATATAATGCTAATGATGTCCAGGAAGCAAGTAATGAACAGGTGGAGGAAGGCATAACATTTTTATCATCAGAGGATTGTTTGGAAAATGCCGAGGAAAATGCCTTGTCATGTGCGGAGCGACAAATCATTTAATCACAGAAAATTTGGGAAAATAAATTCAGGAAAGTAATAATGTATTTTTTTCTGTGACGGGAAAAAAGTAGACTTTTTGTACTTATTGACAGGGGCGAAAATATCACTTTTTCTCCCATGGGAGAAAAGTGATTTTTTTGCCACGGAAAAAAAGTAACAGGTACCAGTCAAATTTTTTTCCCGAGGGAAAAAAGTAACAGGTACCTGTCAAATTTTTTTCTCAAAGGGAATAATGTATAGATGGAAAATGATGAGATTTTCCCGTCACAGAAAAAATAGTATATTATAGATGGGAAAACAGTAAGATTTTAGCGCTCGCTGTGTTGTCTCCCTCCGTTTCACACCTCGGGCTAAAATCTAGTACTTTTTTCCTATTATAAGATAAATGTGGCTAACCAAGGGCAAACAATCAGTGAATTTTAAAATTACAAACCGAAACTGGTAAACATATAACTGTAAAAGATGTTTGGGTATGTGACAATTTACTCTATAATCTATTATCTGTAAGAAAATTGAGAGAAAATGGCTTTGAAGTAATGTTTTTTAATACAAAGGTGACAATTATCAAAAATGGAAGTAGATATACAAGAATCGTTCACCATCTTCCGTGATGTCTGCGCATGCGAAAACCATGGCGTCGCGACGCCAATACATCATCAGTAGAAAATCTCTGAGCTAACCCAAATGATCGACGCCAATACGTTATGAGTAAAGGTACCTGTCATCTTGTACGGGACAAGTCACGAGGTACCTGTCATCTTGTACGGGGTAACAAGTCACGGGGTACCAACAACTGTCACGTTATCCATCACCTGTCATTTTTTATAGCTGTCACATGTCAAATGCCAGCTGTCAAGTGTCAAATTTGAAATCTAACATGAGTGGCTTGTGAAGGATGACATCATACATTTTTTTGACAATAATTTTAAAGAAAAAAACATGCTTTTTCTCGAATAAAAATTATTTATCAAGTTAACCATAAAGTACATTGACTCTTTCCTGAGGGATAAATCATTTTAGACTAGACTTTTTTATACGATCGATGACGATAGGACGACGCCCTGATGATGGGCCATAACTGCGGTTTAAATATGACACCATGAGTCAAGGAGCTGCGATCAAATTCCGGGAAAACCCCCAAATTTGTAATTGGCCCAGGTAAAACCCCCGAAACTTCAGATCAAATGCGCCGCCGATCTTAGAGATTTTTCCACGGTATCAAAAAAGTTCCCGGGCTCAGGTGCCCCCGTTACAATACTTGAAGGAGTGTTGAAAGGAAATTATGTACATTTTAAAATAAATCAATATAAGCCTACAGTACACTTGACAATATAAAGAATGGGAAATTCAGCAAAATATCCAGCTCCATGTTTATGTGAAGTCAAAACAAACATTGCCATTTGTAGGTATTCCCCAGGAAAGAAAAGCCAATAAAATCTTTGAAACGGTGTCTACTGATATTTGTGGACCAATACCACCACACATCACATTTTATCTCTTTTATTGACTATTTCCCACATTTTTGTGTAATTTTCTTGGTGAGCAATAAGAGTGAGACCTTATCAAAGTTTATAAATTATGTCGCTATGGTTGAAGCTAAAATTAATTTGAGAATAGAAAAATTAAGGTTATGGGGGTGAATACAAATCACATCCTTTCAAAGATTTTTGTCAAGAGAAGGGTATAAGAATATATAGAATACGGCAACTTGGAATCCAGAGCAGAATGGAGTAGCAGAACGTTTTAATACGACAGTCATGGGAAGGTCTCGGAGTTTGATTTTTGATTCAAAATTGGAGAAATATTTGTGGGTGGAGCTGTAAGAACCGGAAACCTAATTAATTAACAAAACAGAGATAGGAACATTGAGAAATAACAAGATACCTACAGAAATATGGAATAAGGAGAAACTTAACTGGGACAAAATTATTTGGGTGTATAGCATACAATTTGATACCTACCAAAAGAAACCAGAAAGTCAAAATTAGCGGGAGATTATTACTGGAAGAAATGTGATTTTTTATGAAAAGAAGATGGTTTTAGACAATCAATTTATACCTATAGAAAATTGTGACAATAATGAAGAAGCTGAAGTAAGACCAAGAGTTAACAAAGAAAGTGACATGGAAGAAAATAATCGAACAGTAGAGGAAAATAGAAAAATTCAAGAACAAGGAC